CTTATCAGAATGTTTATATGAGTAAATAAGATGTAAGGGCAGTAGTGTCCTTTGTATTTATCCCAATACAACTTTGAGTGTGAAGGATTTGGTTAGGTACTAAAAAAAAAAAATATATATGTCAGCCTTAATTCTGGTTTTAAATTGAAATAGGAAACTGAGAGGTAGGAAGTGTGGTGTTCTTTTACTCATTTGCAAAGCCCACCAAGCCTGTTGAAAGGTTAGCATGAGACCGAAACAAGGACACTAACATTTTGTTTGAGGACTTAGTGTTGGCTCTGACTATAACAGACTGTTCCATTGTTACAAGAACTTGAAAGCCCTTTTAACTGCACAGAGAGAGAGTAGCAAATACAGATCAGTGAGGGTTATTGCTACAATCACAAGTTACTCTGAGTAAAGAGGCCTAGTTTCAACAATTAAAAAAACCCCTCTTACCTTCATTTTTAGGTGTCTAACCTAAGACTCTGCCTATATTGCCTGTAATTGCTTGTACAAGAGCAGCTCCCAGTGTGGCTTGCCTTTGACATCATCGTTCTGTCTCCATGGTCATGGTAGATGGCCATAATTCAACTGAGAGCCTTCACACAGTCCTGAAGGCAGTCTGAGCTCGCATTGCTGATAAATACCAACTGCTTTTGCAGCAGGCTATGCTGAAGCCCTTCTGAAAAATAATCCATGAGTAATTTGCCTCTTCAGCATTAACCATGGGAGACTACTGCATGACAACATTCCCAGTCCACCTACACAGTGCCTAAGTCTGTGCTTGGTCTGGAGGACAGGCAGAGCCTTGTTATCCAGCCTAAGCCCATGGCTTTAGGTCTGGCAGCACAGTTTGGTTGCATCCCATGAGTATGAAGGGCTTAACTTTCTCTTTCAATGTGCTTCTAAGCTCACCTGCAGTCTACACCAAGATAGGGCTTGCATCACTCATCAAGGATGTGAGGGAAACAGAAACCTCAGTTCAGGCTTAAAATCTAATGTTAATGCACCTCTGGAAAATTCCAGAATTAATAATTAACCTTGTTGTAAAGATAAGCCTCTTTGTGAACATGTTGACATAAATATTATAAAAACCATATAATGTATATATTATAGAGTAGGATATCCATATCCTATATGGATAGGACAAATTAAACAAAAACTATTTCCTGTCCCCAGTCTGTTTCCTAACTGGAGAAACAGTGACTTTCAATCCAAACATGAACCAGACCATCCTCAGTAAAATCAGTGGAATGGAAAGCAGTGTCCCTCTGTCTTTGAATGCTAGCTAAGAAAACAGAACAGCCCTCTTCTCTGTCTCTTTCATTTATTTTTTGAAGTTTGGTGCTTCTTCCATTTTGTTTGGTAAATGGTTGCACTCCAGATGAAAGCAAAATGTCCCCCCTAGTTGCTATTGACAGCCAAGTTAAAGGACGATCATGACTGTCCTAGCATGAATGCAGCAGTTCCTGGTAAAAAGTCTATGTCGAAGCAGGAAGTCATTCCCGTGGGAGGATTTGTTTCGGTAGTTTTAGTGCAGAGTTGCAAACCAGAACCATGTGAAGGGTTAACGTGTATTAGTCAACACTGATTTTCAAACATTTGTTAGAGGTGAATAACATAGTTTCTCCACTGTCAAAACTCTGCAGGTACGCTTCCTTACAAAAGAAGAGAGAAGCAGCGTTGAAGAAGTTGCTGTGGAATTGCATTAGCTAAACCAACACAAGTAATTTTTAAACTGATGTAGAAGAAGTTTCACCTGAGTAAAAAGGCTAGTAAAATCATGCACCTAGGTAATTGGATGAAAATAAAGCATCAATCTATATTCAGGGCATATGTCTGATAGAGCTTTGTACAGAGCTCTATCACCATAGTAAACAGAGCCACTTGTTTGAACCAGAAGCTCGACAATAGTTTAAACTGATTTGAAAAGAATTTGCTGAACAGGTACAATCTCCTGTTGCAGGTGCTCATCGATTTACAGTATCTTATGTAAAAATAAATTAAACCTCTAACCAGCTTATGTTGGTATTAGTAAACAATCTCTGTATAACTCTTCATTTAAAGCTCTTCCGTACATGACAACTGACAGACCTAAAGATATGTAAGTTAAAGGGGCTCTAGATGTAGGCACCCTCCCTTCATCTACCCAGAAGCACATCTCACAGTGTCATACTAGACACCAAACCATGGTAGTCTCCAGGCCCATTCCAGGATTCATACAGCCTGTTAACCCCTTTCCCAAACTCTCCTGGTAGCCACAGGTCCAATCAGTTTCACTGGTAACAATTCACTGTTCTGTGAAGTTTTACATTGGTATAATTAATAACATTTTGCAAATTATGACTGGATCCACAGGTTGATCTTTCTCAGATGTGGTGGCTTGAGACAGCATAAAAAGCAGAAACACCCCACTTTCTATCCCCGCCAGCCATGTTCTGCCATAAAGGTTAACATTTCTGCCTTTGAATATGTATAAGGATAATGTCAGTGGCGTAAGAAAAGGCTTTTTTTGTGTAACCACACATCGAGTATTTGTTTCCCTCCATTTTTTTTTTTTCTTAGGATTGGACTCTGATCTGTTACTTTTTATCTGTTTTGCAGAGCAGCTGAATTGCAGCTGGTTGAAGAGTTACCAAAGGGAGTGAGGGCAAAGGTGACTTCCCCAGTGTGATACCAGCCCCTTATTGTATGGTGCCTCTATCCTTGCAGTGGCTGTGCAGCTCCCTTTCAGACCAGGCGTCAGCCACCGTCAGCATTTTGCACTTCTGATAGATTTAGAGATTTCCAGCGAGGAACACACAATCTGTGTGACCTTTTGTGCAGCACCGCTCGTAAAATGTCACCAAGCTACTGAGTTATATATGTTTTCCATTTACCGATGGCTCACGTGACACTGAATGAGGATTAGACTGACAAACTGAGCTGACTCGTGGTTTCATGGAGCGACCCAATAGAATGGAAAAATGCCAAGAGAGCAGGCAACGCCTTTTCTTCATACTGGCAATAGTAAGATAGCAAATCAAGTTAATAATAAACATAACTCAAACAAGCAGCAGAAAGCTCCCCAGGCTGATATTTAGCCTTGCTGTGACGAACAGCACTGCCTCTGCCAGGTGATTTTTTTCTCAGGCAGTCAGTTTACTGACAGATCCTTTATTTGTGGGCAGGAATCTCTGTTGACCTAAGGCTCTTCCAATGCCTACGTTTGCATGAGCGTGGCAAATCTGTGTTTCTAGTTCCAGCATTTCCTGCATTTTTGGGGGAAACTTGGTGGACCAGGAACTGACAATGTGACTTCTACGTTTAAGAGGAAGCCTTTCAGTTGTTTCCAGACTTGATGCAGGAGTTTGCTTTCCCTTTGGAGAACTGCATTAATTTTAGATATTTGGATTGAAATGGGCTATGCGTGTTGTCAGCCATTTTAGATATTTGGATTGAATCAGTCACCTGAAATGGGCTATGCGTGTTGTCAGCTGCTTCTATCACTAAATACTCACAGGCCAAAGAGAAAATACCCTCAGCAAACATTTTCTGTGTTAAACGAGACTAAACTAGACTAAACGAGACTAAGACAGTCTTTTCTTTCAGCTGCTGTAGTCTGTGTTGTTTTCCCTCTGACATTCAGAGTACAAACCCAGTTAAGCAGGAACTCTCTGGGGCCTTTTCTGTGTGCCAAACTCAATGGTGGCACTTTAAAACCAAAAGTGGGTTGGTAACAGTTGTCTATAATTAAATGGGCTACAAATCACTTTAACTAATTCCCCACAAGCTCAAAGTATGGCTATAGTGCTGGTACTAATGCTAAAGCAGAACTGGTCTTTGATCAGATCAACTAGGCACTATTGTATTAAAACTAAGAACCCTCATTAAGATGTTTGCATCTGGTTAACCAGGAGGAGCGAAGAAAAGGAGGAGACAACAATGTGATGTGTCTGATGAACACTTTTACAGGGGTGGAGAAGAGGGAGATGGTATATACACTCTTTTCAGTGTTGCCCAGTGACAGGACAAGGGGCAACAGGCACAAACTGGAGCACAGGAAGTTCCACCTGTGCTTGAGGAAAAACGTCTTTATCCTGAGGGTGCCAGAGCCCTGGAACAGGCTGCACAGAGCGGCGGTGAAGTCTCCTTCTCTGGAGACTTTCAAAAGCCGCCTGGACTTGTTCCTGTGGGATCTACTCTGGGTGATCCTGCTCTGGCAGGGGAGTTGGACTAGGTGATCTCTAGAGGTCCCTTCCAATGCTGACCATTCTGTGTGATTCTGTGATATGCAGCACTGACTCTTGAACAGGTTCATACTGACTCTCAGAACTCTCCAAATGTGAACACAAGATTATGCTATTCCCTTCAGAAGGCAACAGTGAGTAAAGCTTCTTGTCTTGACGCAGTAGGGACTACTGCCTCCACAGCTGGACTGTAGATAAATGCTGCCATGTGGCCCTCCAGCAAGCTTTACCAAAGGAAGTAGCGTGTGCTCAGTGTTTTTGGAAATGACGCTTTCATCTCAATGGCATTTATGACATCCAGCTTAAAATGAGAAGAAGAAAATGATTCTACTTTGTGCACTTCTGTTGCTGTTTATAATTGACCACCTTTACATTTGTTTATTATCATTTATTGATTAATGTACAACATGTGAATAACATATGATGCCCACACCTGTTGCACTCCTTTAACAAGTTTTTTCCTATTGGTTCCTAATTTCTGCTGGAGGTCGATTTGAAAACTCCAGGAATATCAACTGCAAAAAACTCAAACATATCTGATGTATTTTTGATAATGCTTAAAGTTACCGTGGGAGGTATAAATGACAAGTATCGAGTGGATAATTTTCTTCAGGGATACCAGCTTGAACTTCCACATAATTTGGGCACTCTCATAATAATGACAAAATCAGTGGTGTGTGAAAGAGAGATATTAAAATCTTAGGGACACAGGTATTTCGTGAAGGAGAAGCAAAATATATATATTGGGCAAAGCTGAAGATCGAAGAGAATAATTCCCATCGCTAACAATCACAATTCTGTGCGAAAAACGAGAGAGGTATCAGCCATTTTCTTCTTATAATCTTCATCAAATTTCGTATTCTGTGCCACAGTGAAATAATTCTTCCAGTCCCCGACAACCCCTAAGAAACAGCAAAGCAAAAAAAAAAAAGCCCATTAGTCGTAATAGATGCCCAAGTATGACAACCAGGAAGGCAGGGTTGGTGCCAGTGACAAACCTCAGTACCTTTTCTCATGAATGGGGAAATGGAGTGATCCATTATTCCCTGGAACTCTTTGGTGTAGTTCGTCATGGGATTTTCCTTCATTATCTCAAACGAGGTGTTGTGGAGTATTTTGTTGAGAACCTTTTGATCCACATCCTTCTCCAGGAACTTCAGAATCTTCTGAATTTCTTGATATGGATTCTGCAGAGAAAATAACTTGGGATAAGATACAGAGCCAGGAAAAGCAAAGAAAACAAACATGGTGTTAAAGTTGCAATTGTCAGGGTGAGAAGATCGGGTTATTGGAAGATTTACTCATACAGCTGGCATTATAGTAGAAAACTGTTGATTGTAGGCAGTTTCTACTGGACTTCCGGATTTCAGAGCTCTATAAATATACATTCAGCCTTTTACCTCCTTCATATCTTCATAGAAGAGGTAGAGAATACGGTGCTTATCTTTTGCCTTCCACCATCCTTTTACATGGTCATACCAGGAACCCCAGAGCACTGAAAAAGGAGTAACAGCAGCAGCAGCTATAAATACCCAAACTGACCTCAGGTACCTGTGGCAGTCATGTTTCCCTCATAACCAGCATCTGGGCATTTCCCAGCTGTTTTGGAATCACTGTGGCCACGACTGCTGTGCTCTGTGCCTCTCTCAGCATTCATGCTATTAATCCCTCAGGTCTGTGGATGCTCAGAGCAGGATTCATGTGTAACTTTAGAGGGCAACAAATGCAGATGCTTACCCCTGAATGAAAAATCCAGGCTGCCTTTAGGGTCGATGGAGAGGAACAGATGTTTCCAGAATGATTAATCTGATCCGTTGGACGAGGTCTGTCTTAATTGACTCTGCTTTGAGCAGGGAGTTGGAGCAGACAGACACCACAGGTCCCTTCCAACTTGCGTTTTTCTGTGATTCTAACTGGTTTAAATACTTGGTATATTATCAGGAGTGCCTGCTTCTCTCCAGCAAGTATCGAAATGACTAGCTTGGACAGGGGTAGCTACGTCCTAGATGTCTGCACTGGGACAGAGGGCTCCCAAACCGAGCTGATCAAACACAAGACATGAGGTCTCCTTTAGATATGAGACTCTCATGCTGGTCCAGACAGCAGTGCTTCTAGGCCAAAATGGTGCCAAATATACTAAGAACCTATGGAATCTTTACTGATCAAAATGGCAAACTGCTGTCCACCTGAGCAGGTTTTCTTTCTTGCACATGAGCACCTTTTTTAGAAAGGGAAGAATCAGCTTCTGGGCTTGCCTGCCTTTAGCTAGATAACTGGCTGTGTTCAGATGCCCAATTTTTATACAGATGAATTTAGATAAAAAGACTCCCTTAACTCAAATTCGCACCACACATTTCTACACAGAATTAAACCTTGGTTTCTTGTGTATCAGGCTAGAGTAAAACCAATTAAACCACTGGTCCTTCCCAGCTGGCTTCCAAGCAGGTTTCTTTTAACTTGAGAAAGAAGAGATTAAGCCTGAAAATTGTCACGTATATTTCTGAATGATAATAGAATAAAGAGTAGCTTTCCCCCGCACCC